CTGATCTAACTCAAACAGTAATGATTATATAAGGAACACCGAAAAAAAGTAATTTTAATTATTGTCTCTGTCTGTCTACCGATTGTCGAAATGATAATGATACCGTCTGTCGAAACTATTCCGCGGATTTAATAGGGAGCCATATCAATAGTCATATTCGTGACATACCTAAATTTCGTTGCGTAGCAATGCAACCAAAGGCCCCGGGGCAAAAATGAAATTGGGGCACTATTTGAACTAAAGTAAATACTTTAAAAATGTGAAACTACTTCATCATCAGCTCCTTATCGCCCATTGCACGGCATAATTAAGCGAAACTACTTTTTAGTATCTGTAATGGAGCAGATAATATTTAATGGTACTTCTTAATCTTTATATATAAAAGAGGGCATCCTGAGTAACTGAATCATCTGTCAAGGCACAGCCCAAACCGCTATACGTAGGAATCTGAAAATTGGACAGTAGCTGCCTTTTATAACGTAGGTATCCAATAAGAAAGGATTTAGGAAAATTTAACCTCTCAAGAGATGAAATAGGGTGTTACAGATTCTATGAAACTTTTTATTTTACGGGGTGATTGACTTGAATCTTAATAAAGGTACTCCGTATTATTACGTAGTAGAGCCACGCTGCAGCAATTTCATTGTTTGTAGCACGCAGGTGTCAGCTCGACCGGGGTAGGACCACGCTGTCACTATATACCAGAGTAAATTAGCAGCTAATGTTGCTGTGTTTCGTATGGTGAGTGCAGAGATCCGGTTACCCTTTTTGCTAAAAATGAGGCATTACATCTTAGTCCTCAGGGGTGACTACGCATCTGCGTTTTGATTCCTAATTTAGGATAAATATAGACGTCTATGGGCCACATCATACTTACCATCAGGTGGACTGTGTTCTAGTTTGTCACCCATTTTTTTATTTTTCTGTAAAATAAAAATGAATTTGGTGAAAATAATCCATTACAGGGGGACCAGAGAAAAATTAATTAATGTTTTTTTCTTATTTGAAAGGTAGTGCATACACTCTGGAAGTGAAAATAATAAATTTCATATTTTTCGTTTCTTCAAATATCAACACTTAGGGACTTAAAAAGGGGGTTCAAAGTTTGTATGAAAAATATTGTATTACATGCCAAAAAACTAGACTTAGAAATCTGACAGCAGCTGCCTTTTATGACGTAAGCATCCACTAACAAAGAGTTTTAGAAAATTCAACCCCTTGTAAGAAGGGCTGCAAAATAAAGTAGTTGAGTACACTGGTCAGTACTCTGTTGATTAAATAAATGAATTCATAGGTAATTTTAGATTTTTCAAAAAGACCCCTTACCTATACTTACACTACTAACTACGCAACTACGCAACGGGTTTTGATACATCTTTCACTGCCAGTTAGAGATGTTTTTCAACGGAAGGTTGTACAATACTTTATAATTAAGTTTGAATAGTAAAAAAAGTTCAATATTTTGTAATTAACTTGTCGATCAAAATCAATATTCGGGCGCTTACTTCGTTACCTAACCTTTAAAAGATACCTCAAAATAATCTACTAAGGAATCGTAGTTCTTCAAAATATCTAGACCAAAAGTCCGCGCCAGCATAATAGTATGTCCTAAGTTTGACTCATATTAACCATTTTTATCTTTGAAGTACTAATTAAAAATATTTGCCTATTTGCGAAGATGTTTTCTCCAATTCATTAATTAATATATATCTTAATTATTTAATCGAAATTAAAACCATCCCTCAAATTATTTAATTTAAATGAATACTTAAGAAGATATCACAGATTCAAAATTACGTGCAACCAACAAAAATCACGACTGGCCGGCACGTCTTCGCCGCGCACATAAAAACCGGCATTTTGTGTTAGAGTTGTTGCTTACAGGTCATATTCAACAAGACAATGGAAGAATTAATCACGACATCAAAAATCCTTGCGTTTTAGAAAATAACCTCCAAGAAATGGTAGACAAAGTTTATCTCAATATAACCATCATTATTTCCAGTGACGATCAACAAATCACAAGGTCTAACATTCAACTTTGCGTGCTTAGACCTGAGCGTTGAGTATTTTTCTCATGAATATGTAGCGCCCTTTCGCGCGTCACTTTCAGACAAAATCTGTTCGTATTGTGTGATATTATTTGCAATAACAAAGTAGATTACAAGCGATTTTATTTTAACAATGATGGTTATAATGGGGTTGTTATAGACTAATTTGCTTAATTCCGCGTAAAGAACGAAAATGATGTGTCCTGCCCAGTTTTAAGGTTTTTAAGGCTTTGTTGTTGTAATGGATTTCCGCTAAGTAACGCCTGATTCTATCAATGATGGTTATGTTCTGGAGGTGGGAGAAATGTTTGTGAATTCAGTTCGAGCCGTTCGAGGTTTGTTGGTCAGGGGCCAAAATGTTAAGTAGAATTTTTTTTATTCAATCAGGATAATATATGCATAATTTTTTCGCTACCCAACCCTTCTGAGTAAAAGGTGTGAAGTTTAGTAGGTATGTCATGAATATGACTATTGATAAGGCTCCTATTAAAATCTGTGCAATAGATTTTACATGATACTATATATCGGTAGACAGACAGCGGACAATATTTAAAATTACTTTTTTTTCGTTTTTTTTTTTTAATTTATCAATTGTAATCAGCCCTGTCGCACTTAGAGGCCTGGTTGCAGTGCCGCAGTGGTACGCTCCGCTACTAATTTACACAGAGAATTGCTTGACATGGGTGTTTCGGTGATTATGTCTGTAAAAATGGATTTGAAGCGACTGTTTCCATTGTATTGCGAGAGATAATGACTCCACAACGCATACATTTGCGTTATAACCAGCGTGGAAACAGCGGAGGGTCCTGATGAGTAACATTGAATTCGAATTCTCTTCGCCAGCAGACCCGTCGGCGATGCTAAGTGGAAATACGGGGTGGAGGGCTGAAGCCTCTTTCTGTGAATCCGTGATCGTGATACCACTTCTAGACCCCCTCTTGACACTAAGGGCTTAACTAAGGGGCTTAGCCTACTTCCCATAGAGCAGCCAGGTGTTCAGTATGCATCAACGGTATCAATGGATACCCAACATTCGCATGATTGAAAAGTTAGGCAGTACTCACACGCAGGTCCATCGCTCTGGATATTTTACGCCTGACTTGAACGAGTTGGTTATACCGCTATCTATTGGAAGCCATAAAGTCTTTCTGGAATATCCAATAGTCACCTCTTCCGCTACCCACGGGACGAAATGGGGCTATGGATTCTCTTACACCTTCACAACACGGCATACAAAGATAAAAGATATTATTTTGCAAGTCATTGTAAGTACTTTCTTTTACAGCAACAGCTTGTATTTAGTTTAACTTAAAACAAATTTTAATTTTTTTTTAAATTATTAAAAGTATATTGTTGCAGATCCTACGTTTCTAAATCTACTTATAATCAAGTCCGGTCACGATTCACAATGGTTACGTTTGTGAAAGTCCTTGATTGTAAAAGCGGTCTGGTATTTAAACAGTGACCTATATTTTGAATTTAAATTTTCATTGTTTCGTGAATACGTAAAGCTTTGTTATTTAAATATGGACACATAAGTTATAATAAAAAGGAGAGATATTGCAGCAAATGCAGTTGTGGATATTTTTACTAGGATCAAATTTCGGCTTGTAACCAGCATTTAAAACAATGACCGGACTTGTTGGATTGTAATAATTGAGGGATAGGGTAGGAGCTAAACGTAGGAAAAGTTTACTCACATATTATTAAATTGCATAGAGTTTTATGGGAAACAGTAAGAAGAGGTTATAGTGGAATACCCTTGACTTGGGACGACCACACAGAAGTAGCATAAAGGCTGCAGCGCTAATGGATATGCTCGAACGAGGACCACGCTCTCACAGAGTACTATCGTAAAATAAACGGCATAAAGAGACTTTCAGTGATGACTAGTTCTAAGGGATGACAACACACCTTCACTTATAGCTTTTAATCAAGCCTAAATGTCTTGTCGACGAAACAACCACTTACTTTCAGGTGGACTGTGTGCTCAAGGACCACTATCAGACAATAAGTAGGAATTTGTACATTCTTTAAATTCCATTACATTAATTCTATTGCTTGAGTCTATATATCCTAATAATAGGTAAGGGAAAAAGTTTCTTCGGATTTTGTTTGTATAAAATGGAAGAAAAATGTCTTTGGTTATATTGTTGGTGTCTGGCTGGTTTTAATACGAATACATATAAAATAATAAGTAAAAAAACACTTCCCCACCATTTTTCAGTTGTTTTTCTGTCCGCCAAAATGAGTGAATCTCACGAAGAATTTCGATACATTTATGTACATACATTCGAATTTTTATTACAAAAAACGGAAAAATGCGACTCAAGCCGCGAAAAACTTTGTAGCGTTTATGGATCTAATACAGAGTCAGTAAGAGTAACACAAAGTTGGTTTAAGCGTTTTCAATCAGGGAATTTTGATGTCAAAGATGAAGCTCGCTCTGGGCGTCCTCATACGGATAAAGTCGATGCCATTTTTGAAACAGTAAAGAAAGATCGGCATATTAGTAGTTACAATATAGTCGAGGAATTAAGAATTAACCATTAAACAGTTTTCACCCATTTGAAAATGTCTGGCTATACAAAAACGCTCGATATTTGGTAACACACGAGCTCACTGAAAGAAACCTAATGAATCGTGTACTCATTTACGATATTTTGAAACGTAATGGAACCGAACCATATTTGAAAATATTAATCACTGGTGATGAAAAGTGGATCACCTACGACAAGAACGTGCGGAAGAGATTTTGATCAAATGGTAGTCAAGCTCCACAGATTGTAGCAAAACCCGGATTAACACGCAATAATGTAATGCTGTATGTATGGTGGGATAGGAAGGGCATCGTTTCTTATGAGCTTTTACCACCAGGAAAAACGATTTGGATCTCTACTGCCAATAACTAATGAGGCTCAAGCAAGAAATTGAGAAAAACGGCTGGAATTGATCGACAGAAAAGAAGTCGTCTTTGATCATGGTAACGCCAGACCACACACATCTTTGACCACTCAGCAAACATTGAGAAAGCTTGTTTGGCAAGTGTTAATGCATCTACTATAAAGTCCTGACCGTGAATGCTTAGATTTTTACCTGCTTCGTTCTCATTATATTTTTTTTGGGTAGTGTTAGGTTAACATCAAGAGAGGACATCAAAACTACTTGTCGCATTTTTTGATCAAAAATCCCAAGATTACTACAACTACGAGATAACGTCACTGCCTACAAGATGGCAACAAGTTATCGAACAAAATGGAATATATATATATATAATAAATGAATGAAATTAAACTTTGAAAAAAATGTCTTGAATTTGTATACAAAATACGAAAAAACTTTTTCACCTAACTATATACGGTTCTTATCATTAAACCGGTAGCGTTTCTCACAATTATTTTCATTCTCACATAATTTTACGATAAAATTAGGAGAAGCGATAAATTGTCTGATAAATTTAAGTCACTGTTGAAGTTTGGTTTAAGATAAATACCATGGATAAACTTTGAAGTGCCTTAATTTAATAATCTGAAATTATCCTTCTTAAGGTGAGAAGGTTAAAAGTGAATATATTATATTATGCGCTAGAAAATTCAATAGCGCTCTGAGCTAAGAAATAAGGGTCAAATTTTACTTTTCCTGATTTCCATTTTTTGTTAAATTTGTTATATACTTTATTTAATTTTTACTTGGATAAGTTTGAATCCTTGTTTTATTACTGTGTTACATATTGATTCTCTGCTATTTTTGTTTATTCTTTAACTTAATATGCTAATAAATACACTTTCTATTCTCTTTCTAATTCAAATATTTTGTACCTTTACTGTATTAAAAATTAAAGTTGAAAGTAAAAATAAATCGATTAGAAATTATTTTTACTATGAAACTAATTGTTTACAAAAACCACTAGTGTTCTTCTAAAACATTTAGAACATTACGATACTCGTACACCACGAATCTCTCTTCTTGTTTGAAGGTGGCTGCAGGTGTCCATGGACTGCACTAGCCACTTATCGTCCTGTAGTCACTAAGTTCGTTAGTCACTAAATTTATATTAAAAAAATCGAGATTAAATATTTTTTAGCTTTTTATCTAAAGAACCGACTGGACCAACAGCATGTATATGACACAGACATTTTCAAAGCTTACTCAATTGATCTACGCAATCAAGGGCGGATGATTTTCTTTATTTAGTTTTTACATTAGTTTACTAAATAATTTGTGAGATTTATATTGAATTTTATAATTTAAAAAAAGAATTTTATATATTAAAATATCTCCTTAATTTTTTGTCGAGTAAAAGTGTCAGAACGAAAATCTAGAAAAAAATATTATTTTAATGCGCAGTACATATACGCTATACACTATATTGCACTGACGGACGAAGGAGACACAATGCATTTATGTATGATATCATTAAGTAAAACAATTTTTACTTTTTTTTTGTTTTAACTATTTTATCACCCTTTTGTTTACTTATATTTATGCTCTGATAACCCTTCGAAGAATATAAGTAGTAATATGGCTCTACAAAATACGAAAAGGAGTGTACAAGCTTCATTGTGAATGTGATCTTTCCTATATAGGACAAACAAAAAAATGATTCCAAGTAAAATACCATGTTACAACGACGCGCAAAAGACGCCAATTCCTACATTCTTGCCTGGGATGATTTAAGAAGCTAAAGAAATTTAAAGAGCATTCAAATTTTAACAAAGAAGATGGATGGTTTTGTTACTTTAAAATATAAATAAAATACAAACCCATGCATACCACCTCTAAATAAGACTACAAAACATAAGTTTAAGATATTGGATATCGAGAGCTTATTGTGTGCAGTAAAGTTTAGGACTTACTTTAGTAGATAGGTAAGGCAAAGGTCCAAGTGACACTACAGTGTTCCTAATCACAACCCATTTCTAGTATTACAATGTATTTTTATATCGGAGACCTTCCTAATAATTGCTTTTTCAGAAGTTCTATGAAAAATCAATTATGTGCAACTTTCATAGGTCTATTATTATGTATAAGACTTCAAATATTCATCTATATCATTCCTTGTCAAATCTTTATTATTATAACTCTATTACAATTTAGATACCTTCTTGATTGCTTTTATTTTATAAACCTTATTTTCACATGTTCATAGTATTTGACTTTTACATTGTACAGAGTATTAGGTCTTCCTCTTTACCCAAATATGTCAGACAGCAGGCATGGGTCTCCGATGGTTTTCTTTTTATATAGGATAGGGTGACAAACGAGCACATAGTCCACCTGGTGGTAAGTGGCTGCTGCGGCCCATAGACATCCACATCTATCCTCGTTTGCGAATCAAAATGCAGATGCGTTGTCACCCGTGAGGACTTAGATGGAATGCCTCTTTTCTAGTAAAAAGGGTCTCCGGTTCTCTACACTCACCATACGAAACACAGCAGTGTTAAGCTGCTATTTAACGCTGGTATTCTGTGAGAGCGTGGTCCTTCCCCTTTCGAGCCGACCCATTCGTGCTACAACTATACTATTAATATAGCTGCAGCATGGCTCTACCACATATAGAGTTCCCTTGAGCCTCTTTATGGAAAATAGATAAGTGTTTTAAAATAAAGATTTTCAAAAATATTAAACTTCAAAGTAAGCTGCAAAGCATCCTCCCACCTTAAGATTTTAAACAGTGCTACCATTTGGCTTGAGCTTATGTTATATTTAAGTGTAGTATAGTAGCTTGCGGTCCTAGGTGTGGTAATACTAAGACAGATATATTTATGTACTTATCTTTTATTGCAACACACCTTCAGCTAGGGGTTACAAAGGACTCACTTCATGCCCTATTGCATTTTCTACTAGTCAACCCTATGAAAGATTTTGTGTTGGCAGGTGCAAATTAAGGCCATTAGTAAAAAAAAACTTAAAAAGAAAAACAGTATACTGCGTACTACATCAAACAGTACACTGTATGCTGTTACACATTATACTGTATATTCAGAAAATAAACAGACAGAATTTTGTTGTATTGTTTAATTTATCCGCCTCATACATATCCGTACTGCTTCATTGTACAGAAAATTTCGTGTTTCAAATCACGAATAAATTATAGTGTTTAATTTTTGTTTTAAATGTAAATTCAAATGAATTTACATTTATAACTAGTAATTTAATAAAACCCTACCGAAATTATTTTGTCAGCGACTCTAGGAACCCGCCATAAGCCTGCAAAAAAACCGCAAAACGCAAACCCAATACTGAGTAAGCTAAAGAATAAATTGTATGGATTTAGATATATTTGGAAGAAGCTGTATTTGATTTTTTTTTAAATCTTTTCTGCAAACAAAGCAAAAATCGAACTCATTACGAGTAGAATTTAAAAACCTTGTTCTGTATAAATTATAATCGTACCTCTCTCTCTCACTCTCTCTCTCTCTCTCTCTCTCTTCCATTTTCCTGATTCTTAAATAAGGTAAATGTAATCCATTTAATAATAAAAATTAAAATTTAAGAAGAAGTAATATGTTTATTGACATTGCCTCAACTCAATATACTGTAAAGTGTAATTTGACCTCTTCATACTTCATTCTTCATCCTTATTGTGTATTTTAATTATGAATATGATAATTTATGTTATTATTATGAAATATGTTGTTATAATAAAATTTATGGAATAATGAAATAAATGAAAACGTAGTGCGATAACTATTAAACTTTCATATTCGAAAAAATAAATTAATCAATTTATTATTGTATTTCTAATTATTATTAATTGTGTGAAGTAAGTACTAAGTACAGCAAATTTTCTGTCAATCCCTAGTTTAGTCATTTTTGCTTACTCGTATGTTATGATCAGTCAAAAGTATTTTCTTTTGTACATATCTATTATAATATAATCAAAACTTTTAATTTTAAAAAATTTTAAGATTGCATACACTCGTCCCCGTCGATAAACGCTCATATAAATTACATCATCATATAAAATAATACAGTTACAGGGTGAGATAGAGACATTAATATCCTCTTGTAAATGATTAATTGAGCAATTAAATGCGTAATAATTTAGAATACTATTGTATTGTATATCGCCTTAGGAGGTAAATTGGATTAGCATTTCAGGGTAATTTATGTTTACTGCATTGAATTGCACGTTCAGTTCGTCATCGCTTTCTAGGACCTTCGTGTTCCTAAGAGCTACATGAGTTATTTTTGCTTTATTCATTTTCCCACGTGTGCAAACAAAGTTTTCAGAGAGGCATCCCATCACACTATTGTATTTATGAAGATGATATCAAAAAGATATCATCTTCATAAATACAATAGTGTGATAGGGGGTCATTGTAGAAGCGTGGGGGTCAGTGTAGAATAGTGTTAGGGCGTCCCCCCAAGGCGAGGCACACCAGCTCGTCCCCGTTGGTGTGGAATGCAGCGCGCAAAGCGGCGATGGGGACCGCCACCCGTCACGCACAGCCCGACACGGCGGAAGGTGGAGGACAGAGTGCAGAGTTGACACGTGGAATGTTAGAGGAGGCATGAGAGATAAGACGAATGAGTTGATCGAAATAATGAAAGAAAGAGAATTAGATGTCGTGTGTATGTCGGAGACCAAACGGAAGGGCAGTGGTACTGAAGAGCTCCCTGGCGGGGCGTTTGCTCTATGGTCCGGAGTCCCGGAGAGCGAGAACGCCTGCCAGGGAGTGGGGGTGCTGCTGTCTTCTCGGTTGGTCGATGTTATGATTGAATATAAGTTTGTGAACTCAAGCCTTATCTGGGTTCGCTTTAAATTGGGACTGACGAAGTTATTCCTTTTGGCTGTATATGCGCCGGTGGCTTCGTCGTCCAGGGCTGAACTGGAGGAGTTTTGGGAGAATGTAAGAGAAGTTCTAGATTTGGCTAGGGGAAACGAAAGAATTGTTGTATGTGGGGATTGAATGGATGGGTTGGTACCGCTCGACCAGGGTACGAGTCGTTACTTGGAAAGTTTGGCGATAAAAGGGTTAATGATGCTGGCAAGCTTATACTGGCGGTATGCAAGGAAAAGGGTCTTCTTGTGACAAACACTATGTTTAATCACAAGAAAATCCATATGTATACTAGAGAAAGAAAGAATGAGAGAAGTATGATCGATTTGTTCCTGGTGGATGACCGACTGCGAAAACAGGTTATGGATACGCGAGTGTTCAGGGGTGCTGACCTGGGAACGGATCACTATTTAGTGATTACTAGATTTAGGGGTCTGTTCGCGGGTTGGCGCTACCGGACGGCAGTGACAGAACCACAGTCGGTCTGTCGCATCCGAAGCTGGAAGCTTCAGGAAGCGGATACTAGGGACAAATATCATGCGAGGGTAGCCGAAAAGCTTGACACCATCGATGGCAGAAACGAATGTGTAGAAAGAACATGGCAGAACCTTAGGGGTGGAATGGTAAGTGCAGCGGAAGAAGTGTGTGGAACAATAAAAAGAGGCAGTAGTAAAAGAAGAGATGCATGGTGGAATGATGAAATGAAAGAAGCTGTAAAAAAGAAGAAGAAAGCATGGTTAGACTACTTGGCCTCTAGTAATGATAAGGATATGAGAGAGAAGATGAAAGAAAGATATAAGCTGCAGAAAGTTCACACGAAAGCATTGATTGAGGAAGTGCGTGAAAGGTGTAGAATGGAAGCGGACGAAAGGTTGTCGCACAACTTTAAGGAGAACTCCAAACTCTTCTGGAAAGAGGTTGGAAGGACGCAAAGTGGTGCGACGGCCTCAAGAACGAACAAAGTGCTTTCGAGAACTAATGACGTCCTCTCACAAAAATCGGACGTCATGCAGCAATGGAGCGAATTTTATAGAGAAATTTATGCGTGTGATGATCTTAGTGAGGGATCCGGGGATGACGCCGTGACTAGTACGCCAGACCCGGACCTCGATGACACTGAGGTCATCAGTATGAAAGAGATTGAACGTGCGATTCGAAGTTTGAAATGTGGTAAGGCTGCGGGACTAGACAGAGTTACTGCTAAAATGGTCAAGTATGGTGGGCCCCGCGTCAGGGACAGCTTTCATCTGCTGTGCAATTTGTGCTGGCGGACGGGGGATGTCCCGGATGATTGGCGATCCGCAGTCATTGTGCCTTTATATAAAGGTAAAGGTTCACATTTTGACTGCGGGTGCTATCGGGCGATCAGCTTGACCAGTTTAGCAAGTAAAGTTTACTCGAAGGTTTTGACACGTAGGATGCAAGAGAAATCGGAAAGATTTCTATGGGAGGCACAATGCGGATTTAGACCTGGAAGAGGATGCACGGATCAAATGTTTTCTCTCCGCATGATCACGGAGAAGCTTCTGGCTGCTAACCAGAAGATTTTCTGTGCTTTTGTGGATCTTGAGAAAGCATTTGATAAGGTTGTAAGGAAGAAAATGTGGGAACTGTTGCCGGGGTATGGTGTGGATGGTCGATTGCTAAGGGCTGTGCAGTCTCTTTACTGTGACTGTAAAGCCTGTGTGCGGGTAGGGCATAACCTGTCTCCCATGTTTAGCGTCCAAACGGGCGTAAAACAGGGTTGTGTCATGTCTTCCTGGCTGTTCATACTGTATCTCGACAGCTGTTTACAAAAGCTGAAAGATAGCTGTTTGGGTGTGAAATTGGGTGACATTAAAGTAAATTGTCTGCTGTATGCTGATGATGCAGTGCTTATTGCACCATCAGAGGCAGAACTGCAGGCATTAGTCACGTGTATGAAAGAGGAATGTGAAATTAAAGGTCTCCGTTTGAACGCTAATAAAACTAAGGTTCTGGTATTTGAAAGGGACGAAGAGAGAACGAAGTGTGAAATATGGGTAAATCAGGAATGTCTAGAACAAGTAAATGAAATTGTATACTTGGGGAGTGCTTTTAGCCGGGATGGAAGATGTGATTTAGATGTGGACAGGCGTGTCGCTGCCGGGAACAAAGTCAATGGTGCCCTGACTGCGTTAGTCAAAAGGCAAGGCGTAGTGAAGAGTGCACGCCTTGAAATACATAACGCAGTGTTGGTACCGACTTTGTTATATGGCAGCGAAAACTGGGTATGCCAGAAGAAGCATAAAAGCAAGTTGAATGCAGTGGAGATGCGATCTCTTCGTAAAATGTGCAGCGTTACCATGGCCGACCGAAAGCGAAACGACGAGATTCGCAATATGGCAGGTTTGAAAGATGACCTTATCACAAAAATTGATAAGGGCGTGCTTCGGTGGTTTGGGCACATTGAGCGAATGAGTGAAGACCGAATGGTGAAGAAAATATATAGCGCGAAAGTTAATATTAAAAGGTGTCGAGGTAGACCGAGACTAACTTTCGAAGACCATGTGAGCAAATTGCTCGAAGAGGGTAGGGTCAAGAGTACTCGGATACCTAGACGTGCATGTATGAAGAAGATAATGAATCTGAAAGAAGCGAAAGAGGTATGTAAGGATCGTGACACTTGGCGATCTGTTCTCTCTGGCTACCCCGTCAGGGATTGTCCGTGAAGATAAGTAAGTAAGTAATATCAAAAAGATTATAATTATTTTGCTGAATCGGTAGCGCAAACGTTAAGCATTTGGTTGCGGCCCTGTGAGGGATTTAAGGGCGCGGATTCGATTCCAGTACGGAATAACTATTTGTTTGGTCCAGAATATTTTTTCTGGGTTTGGATGTTTCTTCTTATACAATTGGACGTAGTTATACAAAAACGTTCCAACCCACAAATCATTCAAAAATGAGTTCTTCTTCTTTTTTACTGTTTGGCTTCTCTTAAAAGAATTCTGCCATGTCTTGACATTGGTCATGGTAGTGACAATCAAAAATGAGTTAAATATACAGATCTTACTCATTATGACATCTTCGCGAAGATGTCAAAATAAGTAGATACTTATTTTGATATTGATATAAAATGAGTTGATTTACTTAGATCTGTAACTTTAACTCATTTTTGAATGACTTGTGGGTTAGAAAGTTTTTGTATAACTACGTCCAATTTATGTATGCAAAACTCCTCCATCTTCTCCTTCCTCTAAAAGTTGCTGTGTACTGGCGGCTTAGTTTTAATCGCAACCTATTTCATCCTGTGGGTGTCGTAATAGTTAGCTTACGGATATGCCAGAAAATCTTCGTGGCTTCCGATAGGTGGTGGTTATTGTCATTTCGCCTGCCTACTATATTATATTTTTATATACAGTGATTGTAGTACATTGGTGTGACATTACATTGTTTGTACTATCTATAAAATATGTCGTTAAATCTAGTGGATGTAGCTCTGCACTCCTAGCTAGGTTACAGAATAACCTGTATTAAGGAGTAACAGTCTCAATCCCCATAACATTATGTATATAATATTTACATGCATACATTTAAAAGTGCTACAATTATATCAATTTCTAGTTATTCAAATTATAATTATAAAGTTGAGAAATGAATGCGTGTGTATGTGTGTGCGTGTGTTTGAGTGTGTGTGCGTGCGTATGCGTGGGTGTGCGTGTGTGTTTGCGTGTGCATGTGTATGTTTGTGTGAGAGAGTAGATAAATCAGGTTAGTTATTTTATAATCAGTCAGTTCAGGTATTTTTCTGTTTCGTCATAAGATGTGTTTTGAAGGTATGAGCAGACAGCTTCCTTGCAGTTATATAATGATAACCCATATATAGGACATTTTTCGCTTATTTTATTGTAAAGAGACGGACCCAGGAAATAAAAGAATCTTTTAGTGAATGATAAGCGAACTTGTGGAAGAGAACAAATTTTGTCTTTTCGACGTTTACTTGTTTCCCTGTAAGGGGTTTTGCGGTGCTGCATTAGAACTGTTTGCAGAATAAAATGTTGCCGAACATTAAGGACGTTCCAGTCATTGTATAACTGATTAGTTGGAAAAATTATAGGCGGAAAGTAGCCACTTTCAAAATCGCTCTGTGTGCCACCTCCAGCTTCATTAGGTTAGTTTTAGCAGCACCACCCCAGCAGGAAATACAGTATGTAATAATGGATAAGCATAGGGCAAAATAAACTTTACGTAAAACAGTAGGGTTAGCAATACTTCTTAGGGTTTTAAAAATGTAAATTAATTTACGGACTCTGCTAGTGAGAAGATTAATGTGGCTTTTAAAATTTAGGTTTTTATCTAAGATTATACCTAGGTATTTAATATTGTCAACAGAGGATATGGTTGGACATTGACAAGAGACCTGAGTATGTCTGTGGCAAGAGTGAACTTTAAGGGATATAGGTATATTTGGTTGGCAGACTGAACTAATAGAATAGGTAATAAGTTTAGTTTTGGAGACATTAAGGGTTAGTGTGTGGGAATAAAGCCAATTTTTTATAAGGTCGAAGCCAATTTGAGCCTTGTGCTCAAGCGCAGACCATGTTTCGGCGACGAATGTTATTGCAGTATCATCTGCAAATGATATAATCTTAGCATTTGGAATATTAAGGTTGCATAGATCGTTAACAAACACTAAGAATAGTGTGGGACCTAATATACTTACTTGTGGTACGCCGTAATAGACTGGGAGGTCATCACTATAGTGATCATCAATCCTGACTGTCTGGGAGCGATTTGTGAGGTAACTTTGAAAGAGATCTAGTTGCAATCCCCTGACACCTACCTTTTCTAATTTGAGTAAGAGAGTCGAGACAGGAACGGTGACAAACGCTTTCGCGAGATCCAAAAATATAGTTAGGACCTTTTTGCTTTGATTCAAGTTCTGAACGACATGATCGGTTAAACTTTGTAATATTGAAGGCAAATGCTTCCTACAACGGAAACGCCCGTATTCAGGAGTGGACTTTTACTTTTACAGGCTGATAATGACAAAGAAAAAGAAGATACAGGAGGTGTATCTATTTAGATGTAGTGTGGTTGAAAAAAAATTCCCTTTTCGTTTTTAAAATATGAAAAAAATCACACGATAAGATACATAATTAGGTATAAAACTGTGATAAAACTTTTTAGAAAACCTAAAAATATTTTTAAAAAATCTAAAAATTAATGCAATGGAAGAATTGTATTACGATAAAAGCGGGTACGGCTATCAATTGTATCTCTCCTTTCTTTTAGGCGCTTACAATTTAAATGAAATTGTTATCATTACGTAATTATAGACTCTGGAAATGTATTGCTTTTCATTTATTTTCTCTCCTTCTTGAATATTTATTCAATTATACAATTGCTCTATGGCAATGATTCACAACCAGTGGTCGGCGGATCTCCAGAAGCCCGTAAGAGCTTAAATATGGTCCGCGGAAAATTTAAATATTTTACCTACCTAATCCCTTTATATAATACATTTATCATTTTCTCGTTACACGGACTGTGCAACATCGTGCGTCGCGTCGAAATTAAAAAAAGGTTTTTTTTTACCAAACGTATGATTTCTTTTACAATAATTACACAAATTATACTGTAATTTAATGTTTCTTTTAGTTTATTAATTATGTTAAAAATTGTGATTAAAGCTTATTGTTAGATTAACATATTTTTTCTTTCACCTTGTGGTCCCTGTTAACAGCAAAGGAATCAACGTGGTCTCTGGTCAAAAAAGTTTGGGAAACCCTGCTGATATGAAGAATGTTCGACAAGAAAGACATTCATATAATATACAAATTCATGTAAGTCTTCTATAGCGTAATATTTTTGTTTTTATTTGCTTAAGTAGCCAACTTTTTAGTTGACGACGCCAAAATGTCTGGTGAATTTGTGTGTGTTGGAAATAGTCCAAATTCGTGTGTAGTAGCAAAAACTCTTAAAGAACTTGTATCTATGTAATGTAATCAGTAACATTATAATAATGATCAGTAATATTAACAGTAAGATAATTACAAAATATATTGATTTTTTATATTTACGCGAATACTATTTATTAACGGATCCCGATATAAAGTCTGAAAACTTTCAATTCTCCCCGTGACCATGGGTGTAGCAAAGCACTCGAAACGTCGGCTGTTAAACATAAAACAGTCAAAATTAGAATAAGTAAAATAAGAAAACATTTTAATACATATTTTAAAGTTCCCATTTGGAATTGTGTGTGCACCCGATTCTATCTGAACGAAAACAGTGATATTTCAGTCGTCGATTTTAGCGTTAATCGATTCATTTGCCGCCAATGCAAAGAGCTATTTTCTATCGGAACACAATCGAAATCCCTTGTTACTCTATAAACCTAATTTTCGAACACGATACTATCCTTAAATATTCGAATAGTATCTTGTTCTACCTTTTATAGCCATCGTCTTCATCTTTTCCGTATCCGCAAAAACTTTCTTCTCAAAAAAGTTCAAAGATTATTAAATCGATCCCCGAATGTTTTTATCTAACTCTCAGTCTACAACGTTTTGGTCTGATGGTATCCAGCATCTGCACTCATGGCCATAACAAGTTATTGAAGTACATTCTGAATACATTTTAGATAAAAGCGGTAAATGATTAAGTAAATTAATAAAATTTAAAAGTTGTTCTAAGTGCTTCATTTGTTCATAGTCATGGGTTTGTATTAAAAGTTTGCTCTGACCTGAGACGTAACTCCGGCTTACAACTGACATGTTCAGCATTATATTAATTAGGTTTGTCGATTCCTTTTGACCTCTTGCCCAAATAAGAAATTAGACTAAATTGTCGGATTTTAAAGTTTGAGGTATTTTCAGATTTATCTTATCCTCTGGACGTTTATTACTCCATTTTATGGTATTAATATCAATACAACGATTGTTAACTGCTCGCTTGATGAAATGCATCCTGACGAATGTTAGTTAAGTAAGAGATGGCTAAATAATAATATACCTTTACGTCATCTTTCTGTCTTTTGGGTTAAGTGGCGTGAATATCAGAGTGAATAAATATATTAAATTTTATTCGATAAGTTGTTTTTAAATTGCAATTAGAGTTTATATACTTTTCGGATCTGATTAAATAACAAAGGTAGGTGGAGCGCGTTGGAACATGCGAGCGCAACCAGCCAGCAAATACAAATTTAAAAGCAAAAATAAAAACTCGCGCCACTAAGAAACAAAGTGTCGAATCGTTAATACGCGATACGGGAAAAAATTATTAAATTATGCCGTCTTGCGCATTTAAGCCATCGATCACTAATAAAAATTAGAAACACAATCAGTGACAAAAAATGTCCTTACCGAATGAGCGCCCACTCGAACATTTGGGTGCGCTTTCAGTTTGTACGTAGCTTTGTGAATACAAGTTTAGGCAATGCATTGAAGGTTGAATTTACATTAATGTATATTTATTTCAACTAGAATTAAGTCAAAACAATTAGCGACAGTCTTTAGAGAACTTTTGCATGGGATTGTGTATCTAGTTTTTTTATTAGTGATCGATGATTTAGCATTCTAAAAATTCTCTTTCTGTCTTTTGGGTTAAAAGGCGTGAATATCAGAGTAAATAAATATATTAAATTTTATTCGATAACTTAATTTAAAATTGCAATTCGCATTTTAATACTTTTCAGCTCAGATTATAAAACAAAGCTAGATGGAGTGCGTCGGAACTTGCGAATGCGAGAAGCAAAGCATATACATACAAACTAGCGCCAGTAACAAACGAAGCGTCAAATTGTTAATACTAGACAAAATTTATTAAATTACGCCGTCTTGTGTATGTAAGCATTCAACACATTTATCCCAAAAACAAAAAAAAAATAAAAGGGGAAGAGTTGAATTCCGTTATTCGAATACTGTAGTGAACTACCCGTTCACAACATTACTCGAATGACGGATTTGAACCTACGATTTTACGAGTCAGTGGTCCATACCATTCGGCTACTGTCGCTTAAATTACATAATTATGATAGTATGCTTTGTTATTTTTATTGAAGCACTATTTGTGCTTCAATAAAAATTGTTCCTAATAATTGTATACTTTAAAAAGGTAATAGATTTCAATAAAACATTTCTTATTGATAATTGCAATTTCACTGCAAGATTATACTTACCCATTACATGTTCAATAAAAAGCTGGCACTTTTTTCATTTTATAGCAAACTCACGCACACACTGATGCAGCTGTTTCTACAGTGATGTTACGTGGTTGTTAAGCACACATCTAAATGTCGACGAATGTTTGTGCTAAGCTCTCCATCTGCATTTTTTCTATAATCTGAGCTTTGCGAACTAATCTAGTTTAAAAACTTAAAATACCACAATTCCTGAAAGGTAACCCGAAAAATTGAATACACAACTTTATTGCTATGGATTCTTGCGCTGAAATTTGTATGAATATTCATACTTTTGTTTCATGTGAATATTTAAGGGAATAATCCTTCGTAATTTTATAAAATTAAATTAATTTTATTGTTGCGTAATCTATATAATTTCGCTTTCTTTATGTTATAAAAAGAAAGAAAAAACTTTGCTGCGTAGGCAGTACTTTAAATAACACACAGTGGGCTAAAATTCCAAATACTTAAAAATATTGTTGTAGTGTTTTTACATTTGAAAACTTTTCAGTCACGAATTTAGAAGCTTTTTTATAGTTGCTGATTGACGACTATCCGCAGGCCAAGCGGGTCAACTATGACAAATATGCCATAAGTAATGTGTAAGGAGATGCCTTTGTTTAGCAGTGACTTTTGATGGATGATAAAAATAATCTTTTCGAGAAATTATAACATAAACCAGCCTCTCGATTCTTCTGCCTAGTTTTTGGTTAAGTTTTATTTATTTACTGGCTGTGTTCGCGACTTCATTTGGAATAAATTTGTAATTTACTCAGTTTGAAGTTCTATTATTTTGGGCCTGTTTAAATATAATATTATTTATATAACTATATACATCATACTTATAAAGTGTGATTTCCTCATAAAAAAGGACAAGTACGAGAAATATTCGTGCCCTGTGGGCTTCGTAAAAACATTCGTAAATACGCAACTACTTCTTTTATCAAAAATATTAAGTTACTACTGAAATTCCTACTTTTAACAGCAATATTCGGTATACCTATACTGAATATTGCTGTTACAAAAAGGTAAGTCGGATTAATAGAGAAACTTAACTTTGCAGAAAAAATGTTCTTCGTGAAAACAAACTTCAAAAAGAAAAATAATAATTTCCACATAATACCTTCAAAAGTCAGGGTTTCATTCTCCGATACACTCATTGTTTCGGCACTGTCTTCAGAAGTTATTATGGAGATATATTTCTTTTTTTTTGTTTTTGATATCACATTTTTTTTATTTTAATTATAAGTCTTTTGAGTCACTATGAACTGAATCTATTGTGACACAAAAAAGGCTCATAAATTGAGAAGAGAATTCACCACAGTGAACACTTATATGAAAGAACAAGCATAAATTTGTAATAAGTGTTGCCTATATTCACCGTAGTGAGCACAGAACCGCGCTATAAAATATATTTCTCATTAGGTCATATAATATATATCTTAATATACAAACGAGTGAACATGTAATTACTCGCTAAAGCGAAATATAGCTCTTACTTGTGCTCAAAGCCACTTAAACAAATTAACTCTAATTCGCGCAGTGGCTTTGAACATGTTAATATAAGTTATACCAATCGTGTATTCACTTTGTACATCTAAAATGCTTCACCCATGGGATAGTGTGAGCTCGTGGATCTTCTAACGCCGCCACTATACGGCAAATAACATTTTCTATGTAAGCGAAATAGACACAACAGTTAAACAATCGAAATATTTTTAAATGATTCTCGGGACAGCATTTTAAAAATTCAATTATTGGAGAAGAGAAATTTGGAATCCTTCTAAATTGATTTTAAACATCATAACAATGTTTTAATGCGATAATAAGAATGCAACTTCTATGCACATTCTTAAAAAGCTATTTATAACAAAATATCCTCTCACACAGGTTTAATAAATAATATAAGGCTTCTTAATAAAAAAATCTCTTTATAATACAAGTTTTTCATTTGTAGTGAAAATTTCAGTAAAATGATAAATTTTTGCATTAATTAATTAAATTTATATACAATGACCTGTAATTATTAAAAAGACATTTTAGTTAGGTATTTAAATCAAATAAGTTGAGTAAATTATACATATTAAAACATTTTTTTAAATATATTTGCATGCCGTGGAAAACAAATAAATAGATTTACACATAATTTTAACAGTAAGAACAAAATATTTTTACCTGTGTACTCGTATATCTGTCTATACATAAAATAAAGCAGAAAAATCTGTAGAAAAGTTGTGTCTGTATTTTTAACATTTTCTGGAAAAAACAAGGCCAGAGGTCTAAATATAGGGTATTGAAGTCAAATTAGTGGTTTTTAGAATTTTTCTCTGTTATTCTGTCTGTCTGTCTGTCTGGCTGTGTATTCCCGATTCACGCAAAAATTACTGAACATATTTCCATGAAATTTTGTGTGTAGGTAGTTAGGGACCCGGGGCAACTTATAGGCAAATTTTTATCCTATTACCGAACGTCAAGAAAGGAGGGTTAAGTATTTTCCTTTCTTTCGACGTTAACTTCTATTTTATAGATAGATAGAAGATAGATTTAAAATGTATTTTTTTTAAATAAATAAAATATTAATAAATAAAGCCTATAATTAGATTTAACCGTTGCGTAATTAATTGAACTACGCCAATAATCTACGTTGCACTTTTTCAAAACAGTGCCATCGAATGTAAAATACAAAAAGTAGTAACCTTTTACCTCCAGTTATTAATAAATTAAATAATATAAATAGCTTACACTTATATGTTTAAATAATTTAATACATAATGATTTGAAAATTCTAACGTTACATTTTTAGATCTTTCGTTATTTCATTTTAGTAGGAATAAATGAATTTTATAAGTAGTACCTAACTAATTGCTACTTATATAATAGTGACATCTCTCGAAAATTATAAAATCTAAAATGTTTATAACTTTCATTTCTAATCTATAAAAAAGTTATAAGTACGTATTAGTTTTTTATAATCTATAAATAAACTGATAAAAACTACAGTCATTACAAAACTCTTATTATCCTTATAGTTTAAATAAAGCTTTTTATATATTATGTATTGGTCAGATCATGAGTTAGTCGATCATTGCGTGAAATGGTGGCAATTCATAAAGGAGATGTATGAAATTGGGTGTTTGACATCGTTTGTAACAGTTATACAAAAATATGTAGGTAATATAACGATAAATTGTAAGCATAATTAAATGGTTTTTACTTCTGTAATGTATGGGACAATCATAAAAACATTTTTAAAACTGAAAAACGAAAGCTAATGCTTTTACCATAGCAAAAACAAAACATTTTAAAATATTTTTTGAACTTTATTCACGCCGGGTCCAAGCTTGTATGGAACGAAGTTCATCTCCTTTAACAGTGTCTGTTTGTTGACTATATTATCATGATATAGCTATGATCGTTTGGCGATATTAATTACTAAACACAACATTGCTATTTCTATATATTGTTATATCGTAAAACCAATTCATTACACGCCGTAGATAGCATATTTTTAACAGAAGCAAAATAACAAAAGTAGAGGTAGAATTTTTAATAGAATCTACGTCACTTTATGCCTCATTTACGTATTATATTATAAAGTTCGCGGCTTTGTTGTGCGATTCAGTCACCCCAGCCCAGTCCCACTTCAACTTATTGTCTGAGTACTAGAGTTTTGGTTTTCATAGTTTTAATGTAATAATAACGCCATCTACTTACTACTAAATAAACTAATAATAAG